GGCTGCCTTTGCGATGTTCTGAGGAGATTTGGAACATTACGTGGACTTAGGAAATTAACATATATTCTTTCCCCCCTAGGCGGTTTCAATATACTCCTGCGTGAACTAGTTGCCGAGTTTACGCTGACCGACAGCACCTGCGCAACTCCCGCATCACTCCTCAGTATCCTCTGTCACAACGAGGACAGTGTTGTTCTGAGTTCTTGGCACCAAGAAACAGATCAGGAAATCCTCGAGAGCGGAGTAAGTTATCAGTGTCTTGTTTCTGTATGTCGTATTATTTCTCTTGAGTTGCGAAAATGCCCATCAAAGGATTCAGACCAATTGGCGGACATACGCGTTCTTTCGTGCCAGTACATGTATATGGAAACGGTGTAAAAGGTGATACATGCGGTCAATATTGGTCGTCTTTTCATGCAAGTGATTCGTTGGAATCGGGAGGAATGGGGAGAGGGGCTGATAAAAGGCAGACGGTTAAACGGCAGTTAGAGTTTGGTGGAATCGTTCCAGAGGGGAGGGGGGAGAAGAGAGAGAGTGAGGGTGCGGAGAAGTACATGCAGTTAAGCCACCGTTGGGTATGCTAGGCGCGCAGCTTGCATGAGATTATTTTGTACACACAAGATTGGTTTCCTCAATCTGATGGGGGTAGCTTCTGCTGTTGCTAGCAGACGCAAATGCAGGGACTTAGGGTAGTTTAGTGAGACCCTATAAATGACCCAGAAGGCTTCGTTGGGATCCACATAACGCCCGGAAACAAACATTTATGAGAAAGTAGCGTTGTTTATGCCTTTTCTTAGCCACACCAGGATGTGCTCCCTTATTATTTTGGGTAAGCACCGACACGTGCGACCTATAGAACCTGATCCACAGGAGCAAGTTAATGAGTAAATGCGCACGGAGGTGTTCTGAGCTGGTAACCTTTTATTACCTTCTCGGTGCAAAAGCTGGTTGACTGAAATTAATATTCGAGCACATTCTCACATAAATGTACTGGCCTGATGATGATTTATCGAAAGCACGCATATGCTCGCCAACAGATCTTCTAGCTTCTGATTTAGTCGAAATTTTGTTTTTGTGGGCTTCGAATAATTCTTCTTACTGAGTCTTTGAAATTCATGTCCCTGAAACACTGCCTAGTGATTTTATGGGATGTACAGGAAGGCCAATTTACGACCATTCACTTCAATTTGTAAAATGACCACTCTTAACCGACCCCCTATTGACACGCAGCCCCCATCTGTGTCTCCATTAAATTGTGCTGAACACAGAGACCGCATCCCACGAACAAGTAAAGCCCGGTTCGATTGTCACTGCCATACCTCTGAAGTGGGTTGCGAAGCAGGGTTATTCATTGAGAGAGTAACCGCGATGAACGTGTGCACCGATGCTTTACTGAAGTATATTTTTGTCCCATTTCATAAAATCGTGGGAAAAATAAAGGCTGTAGGTTTTAATAATAATAACAATAATAATAATCGTCGTCAATCATCATCATTACCAACAGTATATCCAACTCAAGTTCACTCATGATAAGATGAGGGCAGTACTCTATGTGAAATGAACCTCCATCTCGCTCTTGACACACACAGACATGGATTCCACCGCATGAGCAGGATACCATGAAGGTCACAGCCTGATTTCCGTTCAGGAGATGACCAAGTTACCTCCCCAGTCGGCTGTCTTCCAAGTGGTTGGTGTATTTTAAGTCTACGTATAAGGCCTACCGCGCTTAGATACTTAGCTAGATTTAACAAAGCTCGATTGACGCATACTATGAACTTCTGTGGAAATCCTTTTCGGTCTAGAGCAACAGCGTCGGAACCCCTTTGAGGAGAGATGTTCACAGAGGCTTTCTTAACTAGCGTACTTCACTCATCGAACCCGACAAGCACACCATTACTAGAAGAGAGAGCCGTGATAACTTTTAAATGAATATATTGACTATTACTTTAAACTGACCTATCCGTTTTCTCACACCTTTCATTTGCCAGTCGCAGAACGTGCTCCAGACAACTGGATGTTGGGCGTAGACGTATTGGCTGACCTGACACAAATTCTGTGTCTCCGCGTGCCGTTTGCGGGTTGGCCCCTGCACACCCCCACTCAAACCGAATTTGCCTCTTTTATTTATCACATGGATGAACGTTTTATTGGGGCTATATTATGAGCCAGTCATTGTGGTGTGGGCTCGCTAATTATGATGGACCACAGCCCTTCTGTGGTGGGTCGCTTAACCTACCGATTTATTCCCCGCAGGTGTCCTCTAGTCAGTCACACTGGGTTTGTAGGATAGTACAGCGTCGAGGGTAAAAGTACATGAGCATTGGCAAGAGTCATCAAACGAAGAATCATCAAAGTACACTGACTCGGATTTTAAACAGTCCACCTTGTTTTATTGTCGCCTGCTGACTCGTACTGCCACGCAGAACAAATTGCCCACGTTTATAGAACCATTGCATGTATCGTCAGTCAACACGCACCTAATCTGTTTTACTTACCCACTCTGTTATCGCGCACTCTGGTAGCACGTAGGCACAGTAGGCTGTGCACGTTTCGTCTATCACTCACACGATAATCATCCGATAAAGTTGGCCAACGTCGGTAGCGATGGTCGGCACATGGTGTGTGTGGTTCTTTGCTTTTGACATATTTTAGCTGGAGGACTCAAGCCAGAGTAAATAATTTTGCATAAAACCTATTTAAGTCAGGATTAACTACTTCAATAGGTAAGGGGAGGACTCTTTGGCTCTTTTGAACTAGCGCTTGGCTTTCTTCTAAACTCCGTCGACAATCTATCTTCGTCCACTGTCGTATTTTTAGTCCACTCTCGGCCTATGTGTACTGTTTTTTTTTCATTGTACCTTTTTGGCACTACTGTTTTTAACCTCTTGTTTTGACTTCAGTTGGAACAGTTTGGTTTCTCTTCACCGGATCCCCTGGGAAAGGATCCTGCCTTCCTCTTTCTCCGTGACGGCCTCTTCTCCGCCTTGGTATAGTGCTGCTTATGTTACTACTTTTCGGCATATCTCTGCTTTTTGCTTTCAATGTTATCGCTCAACCCTTTCATCCACTTTAAAAATATCCCCACAGGCAGTCTGTTCATAGTCCAATGCGTGTCCACTTGGCCAATTTTTGTGTGAAAACCAAGTCAAGCAGATGCTGTGTAACTGTCGGCACACCGAGTCGTCTTATAATATAGGGTTTACTCCGCCCAAATCCTTTTATTTAAAACAGTATTACAGGCAACCGAATCGTCTACCGGGATTTTTGGTAGACAACAGACAGTTTTCTTCAGACGTAGCTGTCTACGCATAGGCGCGGGGCACGTTCTTTTAGCTTGGTTTTTAATTTAAATAAATTTGTCAAACAGGACATATCCTAGATTTTGCCGGAATGGTCTCTAAAAGTCTGAGAACTGTTGGCCAATATAGCGCGGAAGGAAGTGTATCGCTTTCGCTTTTATGCCTGTCTGACGGTCTGTGGTGGTAATTGGTCGTATCTGCGTTTGCCACGCCCATCACCGGTCGTCGTCAGAACGCTCGCCTAAACCGGTAGCATGACACAAACTCATCAGTAGATGCTTTTTTCGAAACATGCGTGATTTCTGCACAAGCGGTAACGCACTAACCATCAAGAATGAACATCTACTCCCTAGATTTTTCTTCCAGATTCCTGACACCCCTCGTGAAAGCGTTGAAATAAAATCTTCTGCCCCTCCCAAGAACTTAAGTAAAAGTGAACGCGTATGCCCTTATTTAACAAATACGTGAAGAATAAAGAAACTCCAATACTAAAATGAATTTTGTGGTGTAAGCAGCTCAGCCGGTATACTTTTAATGGTTTTTGTCATGCTCAGCTATAGCGACTTAAGTCGCCATAGTCAGTCGACTGAAGCCATTCCTTTCCGAGGTTCAAGTGGATGTGCAGGAGGAAGTTCGTATCATTATGACG